ACTTCAAATGGCTTCAGGATAGATTAAACAAATGGCCATCTAGAACAGTTATTCCTAATCAAAAGTTGTGCTCAGTTAGAAAGTTTCCATCTTCCATTATTATGGAGAGATTTTTCAAAATATACTTGTATTTTTTACATTTTATTTTAGACCAAGGTAACAGTGGGATGAAGCCCATTAGAAAAGGAGGAGAATATGATGAAAATGAAAGGAAAAATAAATAACGGGCGATCTGAGTTCGGAAGTGGAAAGGCGTGAGATTTTAAGGGTAAAAAATGGGTTATCTCGATTTCCGGCAAAACTACAAGTCCTATGGAAAAAAGTTAAATAGCAAAGGTGTAGGTAATGAAAAGATCTACAACTTTTGTATTCACAATTTTTCCACGTAATCTCAAAATTTATGTGAAAAATTCAAATACTCAAGTTTTNGCTTGTGCTTTCAATACTCTGAGTACAGGAAAACTTTGAATGAAGTATTTTCATTTTTCAAATTCTTATGAAGATGCTTTAAATACTCACTTAGAATATATATTAACAGAATATACCACAATTTTTGTGAATAGCAGTGAGGGAAATTGATGTGGGCTTGGAAAATCTACATTTTGACATTCAAGCTTTTTGGAACTTTTCTGAAAAGAGTTCTTGTTCATTAAATGTCTGTAATTATAAATGCCCCCTCTAGTAATAATAATAATAAAGTTTATAAACCATATCAGCACCGGATATTTACAAGAACAGTAGAAAATATGTGACATCAATGGATAAAACTACAGAAGTTCTCAAAGAGCTTGTTTTTGATATCGAAGAACTTGTTAGTTATATGTTGACGTTATCTAAAGGGCAGGTCAAATATTTTCAATGAATGACACCCAGAAAAGCGGTTTCATTATAATTTCAATGTCTTCAACATCGATGAATATTTGAGGAGGAAGGTAAATTCGACGTCTTCTCCATGCAAAAAGAGGAATAAATTTAATTACTCAACCGGAAGAACATACATGTTATATCTTGTTTTATACAATTCACTTTTTAAAAATTGGTTTATTTCTTTACAAACACTTTATCACAATATTTAAATATAACGTGAAAAACTTGGAACATTAACTGAATAAGTAATTGATATGAACTATCATTATTGAACTGTACTAGAGAATGGTTACTTGGTTAATGAACATCTTTCTGACCTCGCAGGGTCTATTTATATGTTTGGTATGAAACACAATATTTGAACAGTATCAGCAATTGCTTTGTCTGGAAACAAGTGCTCATCTTGCTGATACTGCACAATTAGCACTTTTAGCAGGAAGCCGTTATCGCTTTGTAATTTAATACGTGTGAGACGCTAATTCGCATATAACATACATGTTTCAATTACAGCTGTGATCGAAACATGTACAAAGTACGAACAAATTATAGGTTAGCAAAGACAAATAGAATCAAAGACAGCAATAATTATAAGTACATTTTTAAATTTTGGAGAAATGCCTCACAGTACAAAGAATAATAACATCGAAACAAGTAGTTTGTTACTATCCATTTGTATTGATGGACGCTGATGGCAACGAGAGAACTATACAAGATTGAGATGTCGAAACATGTATATTTTGCCGATTGAATAATTGAATATATTTCCCTTTTTTGTGTCGAGGACAGTTTGAGTTTACCTTCCTCTAAAAATTTTTATACTTCACTTTGAGTTATGGACTGTATCCGTCGATCGATAAATATGAACATGAACATGAAATATGGGTATGTTTTGTTAATTATAGTCTGGATCACAAGATCATTTTTTTGGAACTTCTGTCCAGAGGCACCGAAAATTATGATCCAGGGCTCATTCGATTCGGAATGACCTCTAGCAACTTTTTGAAAAATTTCAAATGTCCTGTCAGTCACCTGTGATTTATTTTCATACATTCAGGTTGTGTTGGAGAGAAAAATTGGTTATATTGCTATTCTAGCTTAGTTTTCTAATATTTTGATGTCAAGAAATACCAAGCGTCATCAACAGCAATGATGGACAACGGTTTTGTGAAAGCACAGTCGGATAATCTTTCAAAAATATATGCATTCATGATGACCACATATTTTGCATCAAACTCGGATTTTACATCTGCTGAGGTTAAGGGAGTAAAAGCTGCAAGGTAATTATTGTAAAACATGGTATTTTTAATCTAGTAAATCTGTTTTTATGCTTACATGAATTCATTGTATGACATACGTAAATAAGGTTATGAACTTTAAGGTTATGAAACTTTATCTGGTATACTTTTTATAGTGTTCGGACACATTGGTACCATGCAATATCTATAAAATGGCTTTTTTCCTTCCATGATTATTACGCGATATTCAAACTAAAACACGTTGTTAACTATCAAACTAAGTTCGGCCGTACACGGACCACATATTTGCAGTTGAAGCAACCACAACATTGTGGTCACGTTGACTGCACTTCGCACCGCGAAGTGCAAAAATTGAATGCTGTGAGACCAATATGAGAAAAAGTACACGACGGTGTACGCGGTTGGGTACGACTGCAAGTTTGTGGTTAGTGTACGGCGGATGCCGCGATGACATCTCGGCGGAGATCAGCATCAAGTTGACTGCAGACGTCCGTTTTGACTTTTGTGAACGCCCGTGTAAGTGTAGTACAGTATTTCTTATGGGCGGCTTGAGTTCGCTGGAACGCGATTGCCATGGTGTGGTCGATCCGACCGCAAAATGTGGCTCGTGTACGGGCGCTCTAACTCTCAATGTAAACAATAAATTGACAGGACGTGCCCTATGTCGTCACGCCTCAAGCGCGCGAGAAATGGTAGCGTTTGAACTTGTCAAATCAAACCAATATTTTTAAGATTTTATGAAAAAATAATTACTACTCTTACAGCTATGTTTATTTTTTTTCTATATCAAAATGAAGTGAATATTGAATAAAAAAAATTAAAAAATTGTCTGTATATTCCCTATTGGCAATACAACTGAAAGAGTCGACCTTCAATCTTGCACTGACGAGTGGCTAATGAGCCCGAAACCGGTCTGCAAGCGTGCTCGTTCCAAAATTGAAGGTCGACTCTTTCAGTTGTATGGCCAATTGCATATGCAGGAAATTTTCTGTGAAGATTCCTGCACTGACGCCTGTCGCATATAATCCATAATACCCTTCGTGGTATTAGCCAGGGGAGTAGTTGTTTTCTGATAGGCGTCAGTTCATTCAACCTACTGTGTAGGTATATCCGAGACTGGCTTGAACGTTTAAAGTTCATTTCTTTAGATTTA